ATGGATTCCCGGCAGTCATGCCAGCGTTGAATTTTGACCAAAGCTCTTAAAGTCGCCAATTTTCGTAAGGAAGACGATTTTGCTGTTTACTACTTATCGCAACGTTTAGTTCCCGGCATGTGCACGTACTAGAATTAAATGCTATAATGATGTCTTCACTGAGTTGATTTGTCTGGGCTTAACGGAAAAAATCAAGTAAATCAAGAAGATTGTTAACAATTATCTAAATATGTTCGACTACTGTAGCAGTGAGGTATGGAGTAGGCAAATTTTCAGGCTTAAAATCATACAGTACCACGGTTTATTGTGAAAAGGCTTGATTGTATGACTATGTACCAGTGTGTGTTTGTTGATCTCTTACTTTTTTGACGAATTTTTCGCTGGCTCACATCTTCTACCAGACTTCTCTCAATCAGGTGGTCCCCTTCGTCTTTCGATAACCATTGGTTGCACACAAATGTCTGTTCTATTCCAATCAACGAGCAGTTGACAACAATCTGAAACATTTTGTAAAATACAACAAAAGAATAAAAGAATTGGCTCAACACAACGCGCTGCAGGTATGCTCATCTGTCCACCCGTGTCCTCCCTAAGAATGCTGATTGCTAACAAACGACAACTAAACACACCGAAGTGAATAGGGGAATAAAAGGATGGCCTACCGAACGAATGAGGAATGATGCACAAACAAGCGAGGATTGTTGATGAACTTTTACAAAACGAGCCTAAATGACATTGTCTCGTCAAGTGAACCGACATCTACTCATTTCAGCCGTCAGCTTGTTTATGCACAACAGCCTGTGACCTGAGCAGATGTGCAGTCAACACAGTCGATCAGGTACCATAATTACAAAATAGTTCGTGTTCCAGTAAGCAGGTGTGAAAATCGGAAGGAAAACTAATTATTCTCGAAAGTGAGCGCCCTGCTAGAGCAAAGGAAGCCCTCAGATCAGCGAGAAGATCCAAGTCTGACAGTTGAGAAACGCGCAATGGGTTGAAGAGGACAGTCGTGTTTGCCAATTAACCTTTTTTAAACCGGGAATTCAGCAATCGTGTACCTGACTTTGCATTTCGGAGAAAAAGTTGGCTTCAAAGACTGCCTGAAAGGGTCTCACCGTAAACCAAAAACGGATCTCTGCGGAATGCGGACTTCTTCTTTTGCTCGAAGAAGTCCTCGGCTCACCGTCTTGCCACGACGATGAACCAGTGTCAAGCTTTCGTCTGTACTACCGCGACAGATATCGTCAGAAGGAGAAGTTATACTTTATGAAATTGCACAAAGTGTATATTAGGCCAAGAGAAAAAGCTTGTTTGTTTAGAATACTTTTGTTCTATTTCTTAAAGCTTGAATTCTTGCTATAACGATGTCTGTCACGGCGGTACAGACGAAAGCTGAGCACGGGTTCATTGTGGTCGAAAGACAATGAACCCAGGACTTCTTCGTGCAATAGAATAGTCTTTACTCAGCAGCAGTCCCTCTTCGGTTTACGGCGAGATCATTTCATAAATTCCTTCCAAACAACTTTTCCCTCGAAATGAAAAGTCTATCACAATAAATCACTAAGAAATTCCTCAAAAACTAACTTTATTTTATACATTCAATAATCTTGTTTTTGCACCGAACGGAGTCTAGTTTAGGTCGAGAAATGTCCCTTTAGCAACCACCACAAATGTCAAAACTGATGAACCTAAAGTAAGACCAGAGCTGTAGTCTAGGATGAGTTGAGAGGGCATAATAAATACATCGCGTGATCAAGATTATTCTTAAAGTTATTGTGACATGCTCACTTTTCCGGCTCGAAACCATTGAGCCAACCTATTCCAGGGGACCTGGCAACGTTGACTCAACTTGTAATATCAGCAATTTCATTGGTCTGACCGGCTTTACTAGACTCGAATGAAGGACTGGTAGTTGAATTTTCCCACAATACTATGAATAGACAACACGTTTCTGTTGAACTTCACGTAGCCTAGTTTCTCAAAAGCTACTCCGTCTATGCAGGAGACGACTACAGTTTCGAACTCGCCTACAATCTCGACACACTAACCACTACGCCACTCTGCCACGAGTGCCCTTGGATCACATAGAAGATGTGAATTTCAGAGAAGGTTAGGCATTTTTCCATATCATATTCTGTGGTGGGATTGTCGATGAAGCAAAGTTGTATTTGCTATAGCAATTGCCTACACTGTCATGGTTCGAGTCCCGCTGGTGGTGTTGATAAGATCAGTTCAGGCGAGATTGAAACCACAGTCCACTTCAACCTCAAACGGGGCATTCTTTTGGGAACGCAAGGCCTAATTATATCATTGTGGTGAAATTCCACTACCGGTTCCATTATCTCGTTAAACGAAATTGAGGTATGATCTACTGATAGTCTCTAAAGGCTAGTTATAAACAAAAAAAAATATTATTTTTAATGCTGTTTCTGAAGAAGCTGCCTGATATGGGTCCAGTTAATGCTTGATCAGTTTTTTAACAGTTCTTGAGAAACGTTTAATCGTAAAATCAAATATCTCATTAATCACGGACTCTCCTTTTCTATCACAATTCTGCCATAATCACGCAATGAGACCAGTCTTCCTTGGACCTTTCACTCATTTGTGATTTTGCCTTCATAACTTACTAAAAGGTTTGATAAGTTATACATCTTTTGGTTCCTCTGTTCGCTGGCCCTAAATGATGAAGTTTATTGTTTATGAGAGCGTAAAAATCAGGATTACTTCCACACCTGTTCCAAAAACCAGCCGGGAGCAACACCAGAGTTGTCGTGCCCAACATCCAAACGAGAGATAGGCTTCGGCGACATCGGGAATGGTACATCGACATGGAAGATATCAATTCGACCACGGTGAAATTGCCCGTCTGAAAGCCAGATAATTCCCGATGCCACGGGTTTGTCTTCATTTAACATGCTTTCTGAAGATTGCCTGGTCCGGTTGTATCGTTCCGATTCTTTTCGAGGGAAATGAGAGGGCAGAAACGACTTTAGTTATAATAGGCAATTAATATTTGTGCTGAGTCTTCATGTGAATTTTGTTTATTCGATATTAACAAGGTGATCAGAAAACGTATGCGAGCAAAACTCAGACTGGACCATGTTAATGGCACAGAAGCTAATGGGCCAAAAATAAGGATACCTTTACAGGGTGAATACGCCTCATATACATGATATACTGGTAGTCTTGAAGGCCTAATTGTAAAAAATACAGTTCTAAGGCATTATTTCCGAAGCTCTTTCCCAAGAAGTTCCTTGATATGGGCCAAATTAATGAGTGGTCAGGTCCCAAACGGTTATTAAAACACATGTAAACGTGAAATACAATATCTCATTAAGCATTGACTCTCCTTTTTATCCCTTTCCAAGTCAAAAGCACTAAAGATCCTGGCTTAATACAAACGTAAATAAAAAGTTTGTAAAGTCAGGGCATTCGAGGAATGGGTGGGAACTCGGTATGCAAGACTACATAATTTTATCATATTTCTTATTTGGGAATAGCCAACGATAGGGCTTTTATTTTTATCAATAAGAAAGTATCCGAAGTACGGCTCCACACCCCATATACAAAAGAAATACTAAGTTAATGATGGAATTTGAAAATAAAACTTTTTCTAATTCTTATGCATTAATTTTGAGTAGGAGGTTTTCTCCTATCATAGCTAAGAAACAGAGATTGAGCTTTAGAAATCAACAATTATTATGAGTACGAGGTTCATGCATATGGAACATTGGGATGCATTGGATCTAAGTAGTTTTTACTGTATCTCGGTAATCCATCGGATTCAAAAGACTAGGGGATATGCTGAATGTACGGAATGAGGATAGAAGGTTACGCAAAAATAGGCTAAGCAACCTCCAAA